TCTGTCTCCTTCACTCATATTGTCCTTTCCTCTCATCTTGTCTCAGTCCTTTTCCTCTCTTCTCTCCTCTTCTGGTACTTAGTAAGGTCCTATCATATTTATTCACTGAACTTATATCAGAGTGTAATAAACAGTGGCAAGATATTCCATCACAGTTGTTTAGATTTGGCACCAAGCTTGGAAAATGTGGATATTGGCTAATGTCTTCTAAAAGCAGAAGAGAGAAAGAATAAAGAGTAAGAGTCTGGGCTGTTTGTGCCATGCACCCCTGGGGGTGTTGGTTTGTCCCATTAGATCTGTCAGTATCTGAGGCAGTGTTTGCTCAAAATCGGTGCCATCCGCCTGTCTGGCCAGGTGGCTCCGCAGGCTCCAGGATTCTCTGTGAGTGTGTGTGTGTGTGTGTGTGTGTGTGTTCATGCACATATGTTTGTTTGCCTGGCTTTTTTGTCACTCTGTGGGGGATCTGAAGTCTGTCTGTCATGCAGAGCCCCATCCGTTGCACAGTGGTCTTTAACCTGGCTGCAGTTCACACTGCCCCCGTGAGCAGAGGTCACGTGAGGTCATCTCAGCAGAAGACGGCAGTAAATTGTTGAAAGTCTGAAACAAAGCCCTGATGGCCACACTGATGGTCAGCAGTGGCCCTGCTGGAACAACATAACAGGATCACACTGCGTAGCGCATCTCAGTGCCTTATGGGTAGCCCTGCATTGATTCTGTTCCTGTAGAAGCACCACATTTCCAAAAATATTGAATATGAGTTTGCTAAGTTCTACTTATGCCCTGTGTTGTTTGGAGTGCTTTCATACTCAGGGCTGGGTATCGATTTTGATACTTTGTAGGCACCGACCGAAAAATGTCTTGTCATTTGTTGTGCTGTAGTGTGTAAGCGTCCCAACACCCATTGATGTACATTTACATTTTAAATGGCGTTTTAAAATGAAAACGATCCTCGTCCATACTAACGTTTCCACTGCGTTTCAGAAAAGATCTCCGTCCACACTACAAGACCAAAAACGCTCGTCACGTTACCATTCATGCACACTTTGCTTGTAATAACTTCAGATTGGAATCTAATGTGTGTTTTGGCCATATGTTGCTAAAATATGTTATTTGTAACCTTTTATATCAAGCTAATCGCTACACCTGCTTCGCATTTCTCATGTAAACACCCTGTAAAATAGGCAGAACCTCATGAAAATCACATACAAATCATATACTGTCATAATAGTGTGTTTATTAGCTTCATGTTTCATCTGTAGAAATGTTTTTTCTTGGTTTCTTATGTACAGAACTGTGTGTACGAATGAATGGAGCGGTTGTGTGTTGGACTACTGAGGCATTTCTTGGTGTGGTGACTGTGGCTGTTGTGTGTTTGTGGATGACCATTGAGGTCCTTCCGTTCATCCTTACTCTGTGGCTTAGGATCTACGGGTCAATGTGGTTTGTTTCTTTGCTCCAACAGAGACTGCTTGTTTGCAGAATTTATTTCCCCTTTCATACTCTGGACTTTCTGGTGGATGAAAGACAGTCTGTCTGTCTGTCTTATCTTTTGTTCTATCTATTGTTGTTATTGCATTAAGAATTATTAGTAGAGATTGTCATGTGATCTCAACACGGCTGCCTCATGATCTACTGCTGGTAAAAATAAACTTTTTTTTAGGTCACTTATATGATTGTTCATCTCATGAGACTGCACATCATTAAAATATATCTAATTGTCAATTTGTAAAATGATTATGGTTTTAATACTTTGGATCTTTCACATTTATTTTACAATATTTAAATCAGTTTTGCAGACATCCACTTTTTCATCTAAATTCTGAACGCAGATACTGCATGGACCTACTTATAAACAAGCTCTGAAGTTATTTGTAGACTTTTTAGTATTACAGTCTTTTTATAGCTGACATTCTTATCAAATTTTCCATTATTGTCAGAATAAACAAGCATGTATGAATTCTGAGGATTTGTGTGGGCCTGGTTATGATTAAGCCTCTGGCTTATTTCTTTGGTTTGTTTTGAAGCTTTTTAACTTCAAGTGTGAGTGGTTATAGTGAATTATCCCATTGATTTAAGACAGTAATGGGGCAATCCCGATACATTTCAAGCTTTTCAGTTTAATTCTCTTATTTTTCTCTGTCTCTGATTATCCCTCTCTCAGCATATTTGTGTTGTATACGTATACGTGTTTCCTTCAGTCAGGTTTTTGCAGTATTCATCTCACAAAAAATGTCATCAAGCCCAAAGATCCAGTATATTGTATTCCTCTGTCATCCTCTCATATAAAGCAAACAAACTCGATGGGGAAATTTATTGGATGTCAAGACACTATCTAATGTATTTATTCATTTATTTGTCTGTTTTATTATTTAACTCATATCCCATAGGAGTCAAATATAGACACGACGGTTTCCTCTGGAAATATTTTCTCTTGGACACAGTACTGTAGAGGAAGCGTCTTAAGACACAATCTTGAAATTATTTATTGATTGTCATCAGGAATTTGGAAATGTGGTGGATGCAGGACTGTTATTATTTCGTCACTGAGGTGTTGTGGTGGTGAGATTGTTCAAGCACACTGTTTAGCTACGTTATATCAGTAGCCGTTATATGGAGTCAAGGGTTAATGGAGGGGCCATGGGAATGAAAATACACACACAAGCTCGAGTTTCACTGGCCATTTCCTTTCACTGCATGACTGTCTATAACTACAACTACAGCTATCTTCAGAATAGCATGTTACCATGCTGTTTTCACAGTATGCACTATGTATACTGTGCTCAGTATGCACGTTTTCCTGTACATATTTGCACATATTTGGACTTATTTGCACATTTTTGGACTTATTTGCACTTTTTTTTAATAGAAATAGTATTGAGATTTTTTTAAATGATTGGGATCACATATATGGAGCTCGTGCATTAACCTTGAGGCCCTGCATTAACCCTGGCCCTCAAACAAACCAGCTTGCTTCTTTTGATAGTGGTCCAAACAAACCCTCTGTCATCTCCCATGCTCCCACTCAGAACAGCACTTAAGTTGCTGCAAAGAAATAGAGCACTTTAAAATTTACATATGACCTTTGAATATAGCGATAACTGTAGAATCTACGTATTGCATCGCTGCATGAAAGGCCTGAGGCAAGACAACTCAGGTGTGAAATCACTGAATGGAGTCAGGGCCTTTTGAAGGGTTCAGTGTTGTGGATTCTCTTGTGTGGAAATCTCCTCTCGTGAAGTTAGTTATTTTGTGAGTTGTGACAGGGAATGGGAGAAGCAGATGGATATCTGAATTTTAAATTCAGAATTCTCCTCTTCATCATTCACATCTGTTACTCTTCAATCTCTCTTTTCATATAAAGCTAGCCTATAAAACGTGAACCAGGTAACGTTTTCCGTTTTCCACTGGGGGAAAAAAAAAAAGTGTAGTTTTGTGTCTCCACACCAATAGGTGTCAGTATAAAGTCCAAGACCACAGTCATGTGGTAAGTGATGGTAAGTGAAGCAAAACAAATAACTTTGAGCACTCAAGGGCTTTGTCCGAAAGCTTAGGCAGCTAACTTCTTGCCTTTTTGCTCTATCAGGCAATGGCTGTGTAGGCAGCATTTGTACACAAAGGTACCTCACAAAATGATTTCGGAGGCAGCATAATGGTTTAATGATCTACAACAAAATAGAGAGAGCTGAATATTTAAGTGAAGCAAAACAAATAACTTTGAGCACTCAAGGGCTTTGTCCGAAAGCTTAGGCAGCTAACTTCTTGCCTTTTTGCTCTATCAGGCAATGGCTGTGTAGGCAGCATTTGTACACAAAGGTACCTCACAAAATGATTTCGGACAGATTTCGGAGGCAGCATAATGGTTTAATGATCTACAACAAAATAGAGAGAGCTGAATATTTATTTATTACATTTATGCTGCCTTCAAAAATCTGCATTTTTGCATATGCTACTTGCGGAGGCAGCATTTTTCAGCTTTTGGACACGGCCAAGTGGTCAGGGTTTGGCAGGGTAGCATGGTCCAGTTAGCCCCTGTTGGTAAATGGTGTAACTACACCATTGTGCACCATTGTGCTGCCAAAACAGCATTTTTGCATTGATGGGCTTTCAAAAGTGACTGTATTATGACAAAACAACTTATACCATCTTGACTTTTAACACCCATGACTTTGAGCCTACTTTGTAAGTTTGTTTTGCTCTAACTTGATTCTCTTGGCTGAAATTTTAGATTTTTTTTTTTTTGAGAGAACTGTTCTTATGTGCATTTCCACAGAAGCCTGTACTGTACTACCTGTGTAACTGAGTCAGCATTTAGACTAATGCAAATCTGACTTTTCTGTCTTCATGCATCTGTCAGGGAATGTAATCTTAACAATAGTTGACCCATAGACTCTCAAAGTTGCATTCAAATGGCAGTGAAGGCAATTGTGCATATTTTCAAAAGAGTGCTGTGATTTGCTCTTCTGTGTCTGTTGAGAACAGAAAGAGATTAATCTTATCTTGTAACTATGTATGATTAAGTATATAATCATCTTTACGCTTGGTTTATGTCATTTCATTTCCTTCCGAGTGACAATATATTTATTTACATGCAATATATTAATTATGGGCTAAACTGTTTCTATAACAGTAACTGCATATCGCATTGGGAGACAGGAATGTGTTTGCATTATAAAGCAATAGAGTGCCACCTAATGGCCTTACAGGCAGATCACAGACACACTTTGTTGTCAAATGTTAGTGTAATATGTTCATAGTTAATGTGTTTCTCTACACATGTGGTAACTCTTTTAGGACACAGGTCTGTGAAACTGACTTAATACACTAAAAACCACTAAAAAGTCAGTTCTGAGAAGAATTTTGTATTATGTGTTAACCATTGCTCTGTATTTTTTATTAGTTTTGGGTAATTGACAGCTCTGGTAATTTTACAGTTTACATATCAGACTTTGAGCTTCTTTAATAATGCTAATATAATGCCAGTAACAATTTGTTTTTCATAGGAGGGGAAGAAGAAATTTGACAAGGAGACGGAAAAGTACTATTCCTCACTGGAAAAACATCTCAACCTGTCGTACAGAAAAAAAGAATCAGCTCTCCAAGAGGTGAATCATTCCACAAATAAGGCTAGATTTGCATTTTCCGAAGGAAATACCAGTGCTTACATGGCATCAAAAGAATTATAGTAAGCTCAGGTTTAGGTTTTAGTCTTAGTTTTGAGTTAGTGCTGCATTAGAAGTGTCTGACCATCATGCTTTCTGTCTGCTGTGCACCAGACTCAGAGAGAATCAACAAATAACTGCAGTGTAAACGGCGAGTATAACTGCAAATATATGCACAGAGGACAAAGACCAATCAAAATTTAGTATGCAAACCAATGCAAGAAAGACAACTAATCACAATTCCATTTATTTATTTATTTTTTTAAACGGAATCAAATAGCACATGTAAGACTGAAACTGTGTACATTGCTTATGATCATGTTGTCTTTTTTGATTTTCTTTTTTTTTTTTTTTATGATGTACAATTTAAGCAATAGTACTCAAAAATTAAAATTACTCACCCTCATGTCATTCCAAACCTGTATGACCTACTTTCTTCTGTGAAACATAAAAGGAGAAACTGAATAATGTACTCTTTCCATGCAATTATAATGACTGGGAACCAATTAATAATAACACAAAAGGCATATGAACTTTTGAAGTTTTTATAATCCTTGGTGTCCTTTTTGCAACTTGAAAGCTTGATTTTTTTCTTTTTTCTTTCTTTTTTTTCATATGGTTTTGGAACAACATGGGGATGAGTAAATAATGATAAAATTTCCATTTTTGGATGACTAATCCTTTTGAAAACATCAGTGTTTAAAAGTTTTAGTTCCAGTTTTTTTTTTTTCTCTCATGCTGTTCAGAGATGTTCCTGTGCATTTGTTTAGCTTGTTGTTACACACATTCTCACAAAGCTAAGCCAGAAATTCTCACATGTAACCATTAACCAAAGCCCAAACACGTCCAAATGAGTGTACAAGCCTGGCAGCCATCACTTTCTGTCTGTCTCTACGGTAACAGCGCTCTTTGTTCGTTTGCAGGCTGATACTCAGATTGATAAGGAAAGGCAACTCTTTTATGATGCCTCTCTAGAATATGTCTTCAAAATCCAGGAGGTTCAAGAGAAGAAGAAATTTGAATTTGTTGAGCCGGTAAGATCTTTCTGATACATAAAATTACCTCTTATATTAAATTTGAAAAGCCACTCTTATGCACATAACCACAAAAAAAAAAACATGTAGTCAAATGTGTCTATTGAAAAAGAAATCAGAAGCCCATCATGCAGTGTAATGCAACGAAAATCAATCCATCTGGTCAGTAATGGTTTTGTAGCCAACAGGAAGTAGCTGGACAGTTTATGACCATAATCTGACCGTGAAGTCATAATCTCACTGTTTTATCATGCTAATTTACAAACCTCAGCTGTCATGTCCTGTCCCACAATAACCCCTGATCTATTAAAGGTACAGTTCACCCAAAAATTCACCGTCATATTGTTCTAAACCTGTATGACTTTCTTTATCTGTGGAAGACAAGGTATTTTGAAGAATGTTGCTAACCAAAGAGTTTTGGTTGCCATTGACTTTCATTGTATGGACAAAAAGACATTGAGACATTTCTGAAAATATCTTTCACAGAAAAAATAAAATAAGTTTGGGACACCATGAGGGTAAGTGAATGATGACTTTTCATTTTTAGGAGAACCTAACACGCACTGGTCTGTAAAAAAATATATACATTTAAATTAAATCCGATAGAAAGAAAAAATCTCAAATTAGATCTTTTTCTAAGCAGCAATGAGATAAATTGAGATTTTTGATGAGACCTTCTGCTTCTCAGATGTTTCACCTGAAAAGACCACATTAATCTCAAGTCTGTCTCCTCTGGAATTTCAGAAGAGTCTGGGGCCATGTCCACACAAACGCAGTTATTTTTAAAACCGCAGCTTTTTCTACGCGGTTATGCCGTTCATCCACACGCAAATGCAGTACCAGTTCACTGAAACCGAACATTTTTGAAAACGCCTGCCAGGGTGAAGATTTTCAAAAACTCCGGTTGCAGTGTTATCGTGTAGACCAGGGATGGGCAACTGGCGGCCCGCAGTGTCTTTTAGTACGGCCCGCTGGATCATATTAGACTCGGATGATCAATTTTAAAACATTTGAAAAGCAAGTCACATAAAGATTGCTTTCAGTTTATGATGTTAATACTATCTCCAACCAGGAGAGGTCGCTAGTTTCCAGCCACTCCCCGTATTAATTTCAGCATAGTAGGACCATAGACTGTATAAAAACAGGGACGTAGTTTCCGTGACGTCACCCGTAGATTTCCAAAGAGTGTTTTTGAAGCTCAAAATTGGGCAAAGAGGCGGGAGCAGGTTGCTGAAGCCACGCCCACCTAGCTCGACGGTGGTGACAGCAGCGGCAATCCACCTGACACTCAAGTGGCCACGCCCTTAATTATGCAGAACTTTAAGGCTTAATACTTTGATCAATATTGGCCTGTAATAAAACCACTTCCTGTTGCTCGTCAGCATCTCTGTGTCTGGGTTCCGTGACCTTTGACCCTTTCATTGCATCACTGTCACTGTAAACTCAAAGCTGATGTGGTGTCACAAAATTTCAGCTTGTTCTAAAGCACAAAAGACCTGTGCTGCAGCACTGCGGCATATATATGCTGAAATAACACTGCTGTGAAGGCGTGAGGCATTAGCCTTAACAGTAATTCACTACCGCAGGACAAACACCTTTAATATTGTAGGATTGATCATTCACGGTGATGTATTTGGCTGTGATGTCAGTATCTCTAGAGGAGAAAAGAAGGAGATGAAGCCATTTCTTTTCATTTCTTTCCAGCAAACTGTGAAAGACTATTTGAATGCACTTAGTGTGTACATATATGAATATATATGAGATCATTCATGGCTAGGTGTGCATTAAGTAAGGGATAAAGCATGTCCAGCTGGTTGTTATTGAAAAATATACCCAGACACGGTTAATCAGGTCTTTTATCACCCGGAGGGGTTTATTTTGTGTTAACAACAAGCTGGATGTACATTATCCAGCTTATTATGAGGCTGCTTGCCACATAAGTAAATAATTGGGCACGAAATATTGAATTGAATTGATTTTATTAGCTCATTTGTAAATCTTCCGCAAAGAAAACTGTTCCTTTTAGCCACAACAAACAACTTATTTCATGACTTTTCAACTGGACATGAAATATTGATTTTTAGTTGAAAAACAAAGCAATCATTCTGGCAACTAGGAGAGCATTACAACAGTACTGCAGTACTATTATTATGGAAATCTTCCGATTTAATTTTCAATACAAATGCTAAATGGCACACGAAATGGCACCAGTTGAATTTGAATGAAACAAGAGATAACGAGTCTGCGGTGTGATATGAGATAAAAGAAGTGCCAGCTTCAGATACCAGAATGAGCTGTCTGTTATACAGCGTTGGTATTGACGACAGTCATTATCAGGAAACATTAGACCTTGGAATGTTGCAACTGACAATCAGAATCAAGTATTCCAGAGAATCGTTTAATAAACACCTAGCTGTGGTTTATCTTGCCCGCATGGAAAGCTGCATTGATGTTTGCAGTGCAAAATTTGAAACATCAACAATATCACCTCTTTGCTGAGAAATGTAGCTTTTATTCAATAAAAGTCACAGGGCAGTGTTGATGACAAGTCTCTGTGCTCCTGAATGTTTTCTGCGTGATTGTCTCTTATTGTCTGATTTTCAAATCCATTTTTGTTTCAAATCAAAGTTGATTCACCTCGTAGCTGTTTGGTTCATGGCTTATAACTCTTTAATGACGACTTTTTTGTTTAAAGCGAATTCACTTTTAGACCTACACAAGCAATAACAATCAGTCTGAGGAATATTCTTTTCAGTCCCTGTGCGATGTTAAAAGCATCGCCCTCTGTTAGATGCCAGCTGCATTACTCGAACATGATTTCAGGTCATTCTCGGGAAATGGTGTATTTATTTATGCCAAATAAAAAAGATGGTTTCTTTTCCCTTAACCACTTAAAACTATTGCATTTTGATGAGCTTTTGTTTTGAATAGCATGCTAAAAGTTTTACAGATTGTTTGAAGACACTAACAAAAAAAAGTACTAAAAATGATCATGCTCTTACCTTGGTTTTGTGGTATTCTATGCAGTAACTTTGAACACCATACATGCACATGGTAGTCATTCAGGACCATCAGTTTACCTTGTAAGGCTTCTCTAAAGGTTAAAGCTCTGTTAAAATACCTAATTTTGGCCAAAATCTAAGGCAGCATCACATGTATCCTTTGGAGATGAGGGAAATCCCAGAATGCATAATGCCCAGAATGCAACTAAGTTGGCAAAGTCTAAAGAAATGGTAATTATAAATATGCTAACAAGTATTTTTTTTTTTTTAAATCTATTTCAAATTGGACTGTCACACAAAATGTGTAACGTCCAACACTATAATGCACAATAATGCCTGCCAACTTTTTAGCAGTCTTTTGTTTCTGGAAATAGTTTACTGTAACAATAATAATAATAATAATAAAAAATCTTAAGTAAAGTTGAGAAATAGTTGAGTCACAACTTTACAAACTTTAATTTGAAGATATTCTTTTCAGTCCCTGTGCGATGTTAAAAGCATCGCCCTCTGTTAGATGCCAGCTGCATTACTCGAATATGATTTCAGGTCATTCTCGGGAAATGGTGTATTTATTTATGCCAAATAAAAAAGATGGTTTCTTTTCCCTTAACCACTTAAAACTATTGCATTTTGATGAGCTTTTGTTTTGAATAGCATGCTAAAAGTTTTACAGATTGTTTGAAGACACTAACAAAAAAAAGTACTAAAAATGATCATGCTCTTACCTTGGTTTTGTGGTATTCTATGCAGTAACTTTGAACACCATACATGCACATGGTAGTCATTCAGGACCATCAGTTTACCTTGTAAGGCTTCTCTAAAGGTTAAAGCTCTGTTAAAATACCTAATTTTGGCCAAAATCTAAGGCAGCATCACATGTATCCTTTGGAGATGAAGGAAATCCCAGAATGCATAATGCCTAGAATGCAACTAAGTTGGCAAAGTCTAAAGAAATGGTAATTATAAATATGCTAACAAGTATTTTTTTTTAATCTATTTCAAATTGGACTGTCACACAAAATGTGTAACGTCCAAACCTAGTAACGTCCAACACTATAATGCACAATAATGCCTGCCAACTTTTTTGGCAGTCTTTTGTTCTAGAAATAGTTTACTGTAACAATAATAATAATAAAAAAAATCTTAAGTAAAGTTGAGAAATAGTTGAGTCACAACTTTACAAACTTTAATTTGAAGCCATAAAAATGTCCAGTGAGTTGTGCTAAAATCTCATTTAGTTTTATCTGGAACAGATCAATGTGAATCTGGCAGTGTTTTTATTATGCTGGTTTTGTACTTAAAGGGCCAGTTCAGAAATGAAATATCTGGTGAGTGGCACTAAAACTTTAATGCTAAATTGCATTTGAAAATAAAGTACCATCTACACTAAACCCTACCTTAAACCTAATGTTAGCAAGCACATAGTGTAAAAAATTGCGTTAACTGAAGCAACCATATTTTTTAGCTTGCTTCTACAAATCTTTGAGCTCTTTCATCATGACTTGTGTTTCATGAGACTCGTAGCTCTCCTCATCGTAAGTGCAGCCTGTACCCGGTGATTTATCGAGCAAATTAGCAAAAGCCATACATATGGAGCTGATTGTATGCAAACAACAAAATGTATTAGTTTATAAATCATGCGCTATCTTTTGAAACTGAGCTTCTCTTTCCTATGCATGTCTGTATACTGTAGATGTCTATTACTGTATACTTATTTCTATAACAAAGAGTGAAAAATTTAAGGGGGTCTGAATACTTTCCGTACCCACTGTATATCACTTTTGCACATCTCATGTGTGTGTTGCAGGGCATTTGGGATGCACATGGACACGCCATTATTGTACATACGAAAAAGGCTGCAACATATTCAGCATGTGCAACACAGAGGCAAAACCCACAGCTAAACAGGTACAAAGATGTTCATGTTTCAGTGATCTGTAGGAGCAGAGGTGCTGTTTGCATTAGGTCCTCACTTTCTGTCTCTGTCTTTTCACAGAACGGTGTCACGTCAAATCCCACAGAGAAGTTCAGACTGAAGTCCTGTATCAGGAGGAAGACTGACTCGATTGATAAGCGCTTCTGTTTTGACATTGAGGTGGTTGAAAGGTGAGTGTCTGCACTGACAACACAGCACAGGTGTTTCACTCCCTGAGAAATATTTCACCCAAAAATGGACATTTTGGACATTTTTTTCACCCTCATGTTGTTATGAACCTGTGTGAACCTGTCTGTCTTCTGTGGATCACAAAAGGAGAAATTTTGAAGATTCTTTATAATATCACCTTTTGTGTTTTACGAGTCATACAGGTTTGTAACTACTAGAGGGAGAGTAAATGAATACCACATTTTTAATTTTTGGATGAATTCCTGCTCCTTTTAACATGTGCTATATGTTTCTCAAATATGAATTTTTCCTTCTTGTTTAAGAGTGGCCTGCATTTCTATTTTCTGCATGCTTCTTATGTCACACTATATAATCTGTCGTCTGTATGTTTTAACTGTATAATCTTCTCCTTTTTTACTTACATCTGCCTTCATAGCTCAGTCTTACGATATTAGGTGGCAAATATGTATTTATATGTATGTAAGCATTTGTGCAAGCATTTTAGAACATGCACATTCTATTAACACTCAGTCCATCAGATCTGTGTGTAGCAAAGTAGCAAATGGAACTTCCTGTGTGTTCATGAACTTTGCCACCTAGTGTAAGGTTGCACTGTTGTTTTTCTGACAGTTTACCTTGTGCTGTATGTGCCCATTTCCCCTGTCCCTTCTCTGTGTTTATTTCAATCTAGAAATACCATCTATCGTGGATCTCTTTTCAGACCACTGCAATTTTTCTGTAAAGCCCGGTATGTGACCAGCCCAGAAGCATGTCGAAGCGCATGTGTGCTGCTTGTGATCTCATGCATTCAAAATCCCATGCTGATCAAAGCTTATTTCTCACTCCGATGGTTTTAAAGGATTGCATGTTGAAAATCCAACACATTGCCTGCACCTGTAATTGGTGGGATAACAGTTTGATTTGATTTAACTGGCTGAGTGATTTTTGATCTGGAAATTACATTATCACTTGACATCAAGAAACAAACATCACAACATCAAATTAACATTAGCTATAGCTACACCAGGCTAGAGTTAGGCAAGATGGAGAGGAAACATCCAATGATAGAATTAAGACAGATTTATAATTATTATATTTATATGATCAGTTTATGAGAAAAACCTAGTGAGCTGCCTACCCAGAAAACCTTTTAAGGCATCATCCGATGCAAAGGCCCAAAAGGCAGTTTTTCTTCTAACATGCCTCATTTTTGCGGAAATCTTAGGCAGCATTGCATGTTTCCTTCACAAAGAAAGCAATTATGCTTTCTAAATTCAGCTGATTTTTTTTTTCATCAGCTGAACCCCTTTGACCTAAAACTTTTACTTCAAGTACCCCCTGAGATATTAAGATATTAAATATTTCAGTAATTTATATTTGCATGTTTTTTGTCACATTTGTAACAAAATAAATAAATTTATTTTACACTTTTTTTTATGCTTATGAGAGTATGAATTCAAAGCCATTATAAATAATATGATATGCATACACTTGCTCATGTATACAAATCTCCTCTCAGGAAACACTCCTACCATTACCTTTAAACTGCACTGCAGCGTGCTTGCCCTAACAAGCGGGATAATAATCAAAGCATAACTGAGCATATATAGCTCGTTCATCCATGCACAGATATTAGTGACAGCTGTTGCACAGGCATGGCTGTGTATGCAGCGAGGAGCGTGTTAATGGCTATGAGCTCACTCTAATGTTCACCTTACAGTTACGGTTACCGCAAATGCTGTCAAATCATGTGTGAAGATCCATGGGTAATATTTATGGGTGGATTAATTGGTCCTTGTGATTCTAAATGGTGTGAATCTCAGAGTGCCGATACAGAATATAATTAAATTGATGTTTATGTAAATGAAGTAGTACTTTCATGTGTCATTTTTTTCCCATAAGTGTATAGTGTTACTGAGCTTGGAAAGATATTTAAGACATTTTAGTTCAAACATTTAAAGAAATAATTACCCACAAATGCATTATGTCATTTCAAACCCGTATGACTTTCTTTTTTCCATGGAACACGAAAGGAGATGTTTTGAAAAATGTTCACACTGCTCTTTTTCGTACAACAACAGCATACAGTCACCAGGAGCTGTCAAGCTCTAAAAATGAGACAAATCTTCCATAAAAGTTGCCAGTATGCTCATATATGAAATAAATTCCAAATCAATAAGTTTAGTGCAAAATCTTTGTGCCACTACTCACTGTGTATTTCATTGAATGGAAAAGAGCAGTTTGAACAGTCTTTGTGTTCCATTTAAGCAAGAAAGTCATACAGGTTTGAAATGGCATCAACTTTTTTGGGTGAGCAATTGCTACTCAACCTGACTTAAAGGGATAGTTCACCCAAAAAAAAGAAAATTCTGTCATCATTTACTGAAAACAGTTTTCATACTATGGAAGTCAGTGGTAACCAAAACATGTTTGGTAACCAACATTCTTCAAAATATCTTCTTTTACATTCCACAGAGGAAAGAAAGTCATACACATCTGGAATGACATCAGGATGAGTTAATAATGACACAATTTTCATTTCGGGGTGAATTGTATATGATGTGGCAACATTTCATTTGGGTCTAAATCCTTTACATGCTTCAGTTTCTCTAAACATATTCAAGCAAAGGTTCTATTCAGGAACTATATTAGGTAGATGAGTAAGATATTTCTAGAGCATGTCAGACTTTTAAGTGCTGCGTTGTCTTCAGGCATGGCATTATCACGCTACAAGCGCTGTCTGAGTCCAACAGGAGACTCTGGCTGGAAGCTATGGATGGCAAAGAGCCGGTGAGTCCTGAAGCTAATTTATTGCCTGATTTAATACAATCTTGACATAGCTGTCATCACTTGCTTCTGTATTGATTCAAGCTTCAGAAGATCCTCAAGCTCAGGTATTTTCGTCAGAACATGTAAAAATCGATATGCCATTTATCTGCAATTTTATTGCTCAACAAGTAATTCTCGATTAACTAAATATACAGTAATAACATATTTGTTCTCTCTTTCAGATCTACAACCTTCCTGCTATTCTGAGCAAGAAAGAGGAGAGTACGTATTTAAGTCTTTAAGCACAGCCACAGTATTATTAATTAATTTTATTTTATATTATGTCTTGCCTAATTTTTTTTTCAGTCAGAGTGAGCTTGACGTTTGAGTCTGACCTCACATGGTCTCGTCAGATTAACTGTGCTTAACAAACACAGATTCAGATAATGTGTTCTGTTTCCCTTCACTACACCCTTTGTGTGTCTCTGCTCTCTCATTAACTTTTACAAGGGCAATAGCATTACATTTATTACATCCGGAGTAAGCCGTATCCCCCAGAGTGTGACACAAGCTAAATCCATCTATTGAACATGTTGTTTCTTTTCACCTGTCTTTTGCAGCATATTTAAATGAAGCTGGCTTTAATTTTGTGAGGAAGTGTATACAGCTGGTGGAGGTGAGAGGTGAGATGTGTGTTTACTGGAGTACTGATTTCCTCTTATCTCATGTATAGGATATTTATTGTGGATAAAGCATTCTATATTTTTTTTTTGCTTCCTAATTGTAATAATAATAGGCCTGTGTGTGTGTGTGTGTGTGTGTGTGTACAGGTTTATATATCCTGGTGGGGACTTAAACCTGACTACACACAGACTCATGGGGACTCGTGTCACGGTGGGGACCTAAATTGTGGTCCCCACGGGTACAAAAGCTTATAAATCATACCGAATGAAGTTTTTTGAAAATCTAAAAATGCAGAAAGTTTCCTGTGAGGGGTAGGTTTAGGGGTAGGGTTGGTGTAGGGCAATAGAAAATACGGTCTGTACAGTAGAAAAACCATTACGCCTATGGAGAGTCCCCACAAGGATAGCTGACCAGACGTGGGTGTGGGTGTGGGTGTGTGTGTGTGTGTGTGGGTGTGCGTGCGAGCGTGTAATTTTATATTCTCCTCTCGGCAGGGCTCAACACTATGGGTTTGTACAGAGTCGGTGGAATAAACTCAAAAGTGCAGAAGCTCATGACCACAGTCTTCTGTAAGTTACTTCTCTCTACACATCTAATGCCAGCCTCGAGAACTAGACAAGCAAATGTGTTTCAGATCGGGGTCGCAAAAATCGATCACTCTGAAGCAATCCCCTCTTGCACAAACATTGTCAAATGAATTTATTTTGGAGCTTAACGTCACATCTGGTGGCTTTTAATCTTGTTCTGAAAGATCTCAACAAATGTCTGGATTTAGCCTGTAAACCTAAATCAAGTTTAATAACTTCACAGATTAACTTAAACTATAAACACCATGTCACCATGAAACAAAAATGGACAATTCTTATTTTATGTATGGAATGTTACATAGTTTATTATAATATATTCATAATCCTTTTAAATGTTCAAAAACATGATATTCCCCTCCCCTTCGCAAGGACATCTCTTTCCTGGATAGATAGGTTCTCAAAACATAAATATAATGTTTTTTCATTATTTTTTTTTTTTTAAGAAAATGAAAGAAATAAGACTATATTTTCAATAGGGAAAATGAGCATTGCACTCTGACACTTTCTTGACAGTTTATCTACATTTTCACCTCCAGTTGTCATTACTGTAATGCAAAAAACCCTCGTTATCTTTGCCATAGAAAATAAGGATCAATTCAATCCAATAAATTTTTTTAAAGGATAAATTATTTATAGTGGGCTTAACTGTCATGAAAATTATGGTACAGTGCAAAAATCTTAATGATCCTAAAAATTAACTTTTTTTTTTTTTTTTTTGGTTTGAAATGTGACATTTTTGAATTAGCAGTTTTCCATGGGTCAGACATCTTTAATATCACTCCAGCATTTGCACATTTGTTCCTGGTTTTCTCTTACAGCACACAAAGCAGCGTCAGACATGGATCTGGACCCAGATACCTGGGACAACAAAACCATCACCAGCGGCCTCAAGAATTACCTCAGGTTAGTGTGTTCCTCAGGTTTTGCTACATGTTACAGGCTGATGTTATTACTCATAATGGAGATTCAAAATGCTAGTGGGAACTGTACATTCAGCAAGATTACACTGAAATAGAGTGTAACTTTCTCCATTTGAGAGAGTTGAAAGTAACCAAAAGCTTTTCTGAGAGAAGAGCTAACAAGATGTAATTCTCGTCTCCGTCCACCAGGTGTCTTTCTGAGCCTCTCATGACATACAAGCTCCACTCAGACTTCCTCTTGGCTGTCAGTAAGTTCTAAAGCTTTTGAATTACATGTTAAGCATTAAGACACTGAAAAGCTATACATTTGTGTTGAGTTTGTGCTGATGGTGTGTTGATATATTTGGTCTGTTTTCTTTCAGAATCTGATGATCAGAACTACAGAGTGTGTGCAGTTCACGCGCTGGTGCATAAACTACCTGACAAAAACAAAGAGATGCTGGAGATATTAATCAAACATCTACTCAAGTATGACTGAACATGTGGATTTATATTCATTTTTTTACTGTTGAAAGGAAAACTTTTCTCTCCCTAAACTCACTCTTAGTCTCAAGTAATATGTTGTAGATTTATTTAGAGCAAAATGTTGTAAATAAGATGGTTGGTCACTAGCATGTGTTGTGTTTTGGGTGCTGGCGTCTTCACAAGACTTCTTGACTAGCTTAACCCAGACCAAGATGTACTTGATCTGTGGGCTTCACCGCCTAAAATGTGGTGGTAGCACTAGCATAAGGTTGCATTTGTCCGATCTTGTCCTGCATGTAATTTTACATTGGTGTCAGGTAGTTTTGTGGGGTAATTAAGTATTATTTGAAGTATGATATTGGTTCGAGGATTTGACTGACATGTGTCTCTGCAGTGTGTCCACTCACAGTGAGAGTAACATGATGACCGTGTCCAATCTGGGAGTGATCTTTGGCCCTACGCTCATGCGCTCCCAGGAAGAAACTGTTGCTGCCATGATGAACATCAAATTCCAAAATATCGTGGTAGAAATTCTCATTGAACATTTTGAAAAGGCAAGATAATACACAACATACTCCTGTAAGAAATTATACATTCATACTGTATCTATATCTGTATATGTCTATATAAACTAACTTTGTTAGTTTATATAGACATGTCAGTTTTTTTGAAGTGTTGGTAAGATTTTTTAATGTTTTTGAAAGAAGTCTCTTACACTACCAGTCAAATGTTATTTGAGCAGCAAATCATAATATTAGTCATGCGCTCCCAGGAAGAAACTGTTGCTGCCATGATGAACATCAAATTCCAAAATATCGTGGTAGAAATTCTCATTGAACATTTTGAAAAGGCAAGATAATACACAACATACTCCTGTAAGAAATTATACATTCATACTGTATCTATATCTGTATATGTCTATATAAACTAACTTTAAGAAGTGTTGGTAAGATTTTTTAATGTTTTTGAAAGAAGTCTCTTACACTACCAGTCAAATGTTTTTTGAGCAGCAAATCATAATATTATAATTATTTCTGAAGGATCATGTGTGGCACTGAAGACTGGAGTAATTATGCTAAAAAATCAGCTTTGCAATCATAGGAATTAATTTACATTTTAAAATATATTCAAATAGAAAGCAGTTATTTTAAATAGTAAAGATATTTCACAATGTTACTGCTTTTGCTGTATTTTTCTGGTGAGCAGAAGAGAATTCTTTAAAAAACATTAAAAATCTTACTGTTCAAAAACTTTTGACTGGCAGTGTATGCTCACCAAGGCTGTATTTATTGTATCAAAAATACAGAAAAAAAGGTAATCTTGTGAAATGTTATTACAATTTAAAATAATTGTTTTCTATTCTAATATATTTTCAACTGTAAATTATTCCTGTGATGGCAAAGCTGAATTTTCAGCATCATTACTCCAGTCTTCAGTGTCACATGATCCTTCAGAAATCATTCTAATATGCTAATTTAGTGCTCAAGAAACATTTATTAGTATTATCAATGTTGAAAACAGTTATTTTTGTGAAAACTGTGATGCATTCTTTTTTCCAGGATTCTTTGATGAATGAATGAAATCAAAGAATCAAAAGAGCAGCATTTGTTTGAAATAGAAATCTAGTATTTTCTGTCACTTTTAATCAATTTAATGCATCGTTGCTGAATAAAATAATAATTATTATTATTATTTTATTTATGTCTTCACAGACATTTCATCAAGCGCCGGACCCTAATGTTCCCCTGCCACAGCCTCATTCTTGTCCAGGGTCTCGCAGGAGCAGAGCCATCTGTCTCTCATCTGGACCACGCAAACCCAAGAGCCTCTACACACCCTCAATGTGCCTGGCAGACGCGGACAGTGAGTCTCACACGACCAGTAATCCTCACATTTCACATTCACTGCTGAGAGTACATCTTCTGTGTTTTATGTTAGCGTAAGAAATTCATTTTAATATTTTAAAACCAGTAAATTGAACATAAGTTTGTCCCTATTTTACCCAGCACTGGGTTGTATTTAACCCAGCATTTTTTAGAGTGTAGGACTGCCCTCGACTAAGGATTTTTTCTGTTCGACTAGTAGTCGTTCATTTGAAGCATTAGTCGACTAATCGAACGTTTATTAATAAACTGTTTAAATCATTATAATGAGCCTTAAATTGCCTACATAGCCATAAGCGCTCAAGCACACGCATAAATCTTGCCACAGCGCACCGGCAGAAGTAATGTGTCAGTGAAAAACAGTAAGGAGACTGCATTAACATTTTAATTATTTGATAAACTGCTGCTTTTTCTTTGTTCTCGGTTTAAGAGATGAACTCGGCGACACTGACTCATCATCTCCGCAGTAGTGATGCACCTTGTTTCATACGGATTACATAATCTGAGAATATTTGTTTTCCATTTGAATTGGTTCATTTGAAAGTAGACATTTCACTCTCTCGCTATATATTTTTAATGTCTGTAAAGCAAAGATATACACTAGAGTTTTGCTCTCAAGTTCACAGACCGAGACAGACCTGTTTGCTTTCATTATTTTACAAAAGCGCGTTTTGTTGTTATTGTGAGTGCACACAAATAAACGTAGAGT